GACCAGCCCCAGAGCTCAGTAGCTGGTTGCTACAACGCAGTGTGCCCCCAGCAACCCTTCAGACTTCGCTGCTCTGTTTCCAGCCCTGAATTGCTATTGCCCTGTTTTACAGGGGGTGGCTCAGGTACAAGGTGTGACTTATCCATGCACAGTGTGGCGGTGGCCAAGCTGGAAACGGGATCTAGGTCCAGCTCTGTCTGGGTTTGTTCCTTCTGTTTCTGGATGTTTCAGAGATAAGCAGCTCGAGCCACTTGCCCTGGAGACCAGTTACTTTTTGGTGTCCCAAGACAGATCAGTTTGGCCCAGTGTCTCACCCCAGTTTTGCTCTGCTGCCATCCCTGCAGCAGGCGTTGGAGCACCAATGATTTGTGGAGTTGAGTGATGTGACATTACAATGGAAATTATTTTGGAACAGGTATGATATTTATGATAGTTTTCTGATTTTTCCTTGTCCTCTTACATGAAGAAATTGAGCCTAGTGGTGAGTAAAGGACAAACAGAAGAGGCCACCATGGTCTCTTTTACCAGTGTGCTGATGGTCTATCAAGGACGGGTGACTGTTCACCAGCATGGAGCATTATTCATTGTTCCCCAAAGGTCAAGCTGAGCTGTGGATGCAGCTGGATGTGAAACAGTGACTGTAATTATTAGGTAACCTTTTTCCCTTCATTTATCTTGGAGTTCTTTATAAAGTCCATCACTGTCACAGCTAAATGTTTTCAGTTGACACAGTGGTCTGAACTGAAGACACCCAACTGGTCATGGAGAGCTTCCTAAATTTAGTTATCAGTGGTTTACCACTGATGCTCACCCTCCATTGCAGCCTTCAGCCTTCTACAACGTTCCTGTGTCTCCGGGCACAAAAGGATGTTGTGGCCTGGTGAGGTTTATTCTGGATGGGTATTTGCTTGAAGCCCTTCATGCTGCCATTACTGGTGTCAACCACTGTATTGCTAATGGTGCAGATGTTGCCACCACGAGGAAGAGAGTTGTGCCGTAGATGTCCTCCATGAAAAGGCCGCACTTCAGGCATAGGAGAGATCCTGGGGTGGCCACCTCATC